ATAATATTAATCTAAAAATTAATAATAGATTTCTTAGATATTCTTTGAGTATATAATTATGTTAGAATTTTTTATATTTGTAAATTAAAATAATAAATGTTCAGTTATATTTGTGAGCATTTGAAAACTCAATAAATTATTATATTAATGGCATTTTTAATTGTTTAAGTTTACAGGTTTTAAAAATTAAAATAAGATTAAAATATTTTATGTTTGATGTGAGAGTTATGAAAAGATTACTGGGTACCTGTTCATCCAGGGTATAATTCTTTGTAAAATAATAAATACAATTTTTATGGGATTAATAAAATGATTCAATTAGTCGTTATTTACTATACATAATTGAGCTGGAGTAATTTTTAAATCAAACAATAGATACATAAAATATAACACATTTTACATACCGTCGGTGTGGACATACCAGAAAATATTTTTAATAATTGCAATCAAGTATAAATATTATTTTGAAACTATGTGTACAGTTGTATAATTTATAATTAAAATACATGCTTATATTAAGTTATCAGGTATTTACTTTATAGAAAAATATTCCCACGTTATATATTAATTCAAATTATAAATAAAAATACTTTAGGCTAGTCCATTTTTATCGAATAAATATACGGTATACAATTTTGTTTTAATTTGATTATTATTTAATTTTTTGCACAACTCACCGAGTGGGCCCAATAGCATCCTGGACAAATACAATAACCGCTAAAACATTATTATATCATTTCTGTTCAGTCCCTCAATGGTTTTCAATAATTGTAAACCAGGTTAATTATATCGATGAATATCTGATCCATTTTATGGATTATTTAAAAAAGAAAGCTAGCACAATTTAGTGGGATAAATTATAATAAATCTATTAAAATGAATATTAAATTGATAAATAGTTTTTAATGTTCATCATGTTAATTAAATATATAAAACCTGCGAGCCACTTAGATCATTTAATTATTCAAATAAAAGTATATTTATTAATCAATTACGCAATTAAAATTTACAGTACATTAAAAATTAAACTTTGGTTACAATATTTATTTTACATAATTAGAGTTACATTTTCCGGAAAAGTTTAAATTTAATAAATTTTAAATACATATTTTAATAACTTAACATGTTAAAAAATAGATTATTTTTAATTATAAACTTTTGGCATTTCTAATTCCTAAATGTTATTTTACATAATTACTCATAAATACGGATATTATTTAAAATATATTTACAGTCGGATAAGTTTTAATCAATACTTGTATACATCTTATATTAAATTTTTATCTTGTATCTAGTTTATTTATAGAAAATTAATATGCCCACTGTCCACGTTGTACATTAATTTAAATTAAAAATAAATATGTTTCAGGGTCTACCTATTTTTAATAAATATAATAAATAACTGTATAACTGTTTTTCATATAAAAACTAACTGGCGTATTGACATTTTGGTCACACTAGCATACTTGACATATTAAAATATTATTGTCATATATCTGGTCAGTATGATTTTATTGTTTGTAAACGAGTATAACGTGTCTATGAATATCTGATCTATTGAATGGGTTATAACAAATTATAACTAGCACAAATAAAAACAATATCGTCCAGATATTCTGGCAAAATAATTTTCAATTAATAAATAATTTTAAATCTTTACTTAATGTTAATTAAAAATTAGTTGTTAAAAGGTTTTGTAAATTAAAAATATAAAATATAATAACTCATTGAGCCCGTTTAATTATTCATATAAAAAGTATGTTAATTAATCATTTACTTCATTTATAATTACAGTTGTTTAAAATTTTAACTTTTATAATTACAATTTGAAATGAATCTTATTATAAATTTTTATATTTTAAACCTGAAGTAATTACCACCTATTAATTTACCCGGGGTTTAAATCCTTACAAAATCTTCAATACAAAAATGCATGCGATGTATAGTTAGTTAATTTATAATAAGTATTACAAAAATATAATTAAAAATAATACAGAAAGTGATATACTACCAAACTTACGTTTAACTATATAAACTAAATTAAATTATTATAAATTTTATAAATACAGTTTATTAGCACTTCTGTAATTGAATATTATATATAATTAACTAATTATTGTTATATAATAATTAACTTTTACAATAGACGGATAATAATAATTTAGTTTAGAAACCTTTGCCGTATTTAATGACAATCATCAAGGACATTTTGCATGGTACTATTTTTCTAAAATTCAATAAACTTTAAATGCTAAATAACTTTAAAGTTTTTTATTCAAATTATTTACCTATGGGATTTTGAAAATTAAAAATATAAAAATTGCCTTGCTATCTCAAGCCGTTTAATAATCCATATAAAAAGTATATATATTAATCATATATGTAATTTAAGATTACAGTTATTTAAAATGAAAACTCTTCGATTACAATGATATTTATCTAGACATTTTTATTTTTGATGTTGAGCAAGGAAAAAATTTCCAGCAACTGGTTCACCCAGGGTATAATTCCTTGCAAAGTCTTCAATACTAAAGTGTATGCGATGTTCGTGTGAGTCATCACGAGGTGGAGGGTCTATACGACCGTCCGGTTGTTGGTATATAAGTATCGCATACCGGTGTAGACCAGTGCCCTCTGGTGGGGCCGGACCTACAAACCCGGCAACGATATCACCCCCATATACCTGTCCGGCCGGTATGTTCATCACTAGCCAGTGCTTAACATTGCGATTAGTGGGTGTGACACGACTGGGAGCATCGGGATCTACCATGGCCAAAGTGTACATGGCACATTGTTTTGATGGCCATTCAACATGTGGCTCCTTACTAGCTTGAGCAGGGGTAATTTCAGTTCCAAAGGTTATGGTTACATTTTCCGGGAAAGTTACCTAGAAACAATATAAATACAAATAATTCATAATTTAATATTCTACATAAAAATTATTTTGTATTCAAAATAATTAATTTTGTCATTAATTTTTTATCGTGTTATAGTAAATATTTCATACAAGTTACATTATTTTACAATTAAAAGTAACACTATTAAAATAAAATATAATAAATCCTACGACCCTTTTTGCCCATAATAATTAAAATATTTGTTTGTAGATAGATTTAACTTTGATTATATTTATATTTACAGTTTTAATTAATAAAATTATTTGTAGTATAATAACTATAATTAATTAGACATACCATAACTTGCTTTTTAGGGCTAATATAGACAACATAAATTTTTGGTATTATAAACTAATTTTGCCTTTAAATTTTTGCATGGTTATACTAAATATTTCTTAATAAATAAAATTATTTACTAATTATTATACTATAATTTGTGACACTATTAAAATAATCAATAGTAAAGAATTATGTTTTCTTGAACCATTAAAATAAAAATTTTTATATTTAGATTTAATTAACTTTGTTTGTATTTAAATTTACAGTTAAAGTTATAATATTTCTAGTAATATAATAAATATTTGTAATATTGATGCAAATGAAATGTAAATTAATGTATGTCAGTGACAGTGTAGCTAGATTAATTTCTAAATAAAATTTGTAACATTATTAAAATTTACCAAAAATAAACCGCAGCTTTCACTGTTGCCATTATAATTAAAATATTTGTTTGTAGATAGATTTAACTTTGATTATATTTAAGTTTACAGTTTTAATTAATATAATTATTAGTAATATAATAAATATAAATAATAATACAGACCATAACTTGCTCTATGGGGCTAACATCGATAACATCAGGCACAAGTCCACTATCACGAAACCACATGTCCACGTTATGTATATCCACGTACTCATCCCATTGAGCGTGGTAAAAATTACCAGACACTGGTTCACCGAGCTCATATTTATGGGCAAACTCTGTAATATTAAAATGTAACCTATGCATAATTGAGTCATCCCTGGTCATCCCCTCAATCCGTTTGGATTGTTTATATACGAGTATAACATATCGATGGATACCCGACCCCTTGGATGGCCCTGAGCTTAGAAACGCGGCTACTATTTGCCCGGACTTTATATCCCCGTCCGGTATGTTCACAACCAACCAGTGCTTTACACTACGCATAGATGGGTCCACACGACTGTGTGCATCAGGGTCAATCATTGCCAGGGTGTATAATGATCCAGGTGTTACTGGCCATTCAACATGTGGCTCATCCTTTACTTGAGTAGGTGTGAGCTCATTGCCGAGGTTTACAGTTATGTTACTCGGAAATGTTACCTGGTTAAAATTTAATAGTAAACTTATCATATTTGCTAGTTACATTACTAAAAATTAAACTTAACTAGTAGGTTTATAAAAAAATATTTACTATTGTTTTAGACTAATGAATAAAATTCAAATATTACTAACTCTATGGATACAGTCTATAATCGTACTGGTTAATACATTTTTGAATTAATTATAAATAATTTTAATGAAATTACCCTTGCTGTATTTAACGGGCATGCATCCAATACATCTGGAACAATACTGTCATTTTGAAAAGCTATTATTGAGCAAGCTAAATAATTTAACAAATTAAAAAACATGTTTAAATTTATTTTTCAACCACAAAATAAATACGATGTAGTAATTAGTTAATAATTAAAATTTCTATTATGTCTTTTATATAACTTTTTAATAATGCCCCATAATTGAACCAACCAAGGCTAAATTACTAGTTTTAAACTACCTATCTAATCTAATATTTATGAAAAGCATGTCATTTTCCCAAGCCTATGTGCTATAGTATAATAATTATTGTTTAATTAAGGCATTGGTAACATAATAATTGTATATACAGTAAATCATTTAATGTATTTATTACAAATAGTTATTGATAAAAATAGTTTACTTCATAAATATATTGTTACAAATAGATTATAAATAGTTTAAAAATGCATTGTAATAAAATTTTGTAGGTAATTTAAAGTAAATGTAAATTAATTAATAAATATGTTTACTTTATTATTTTTAAATTCATTACAATTTTATTGTTTTAAAGTTTTTAGTTTAATATATGTAAGTTTGCTTGTAAATGTTATAAGAAAGTAATAATCAGTTAAATTAAAAACATTTAAATGGTTTTCATAATATTTTAATAAATATTTTTTTTGTAAATATGATATTTAAAATATTAATAACAAGTATCTTGGTAATAATAAAATGTTAATTAACATATTGTAACGTTATAATATCATATTCAGTATTTCCCATAATTAAAATTTAATAAAATTTAAGAACATTTTAAAACAATTAATAATCATAGTCATTTGTAAAGATTTACAGTTTTACAAAACATAAATTAAATCTACGTATATAATAAAGTTTAAATTTGTATATTTAGAAAAAAATTTACATACAATATAATCTGCTCACCCGGGTGTAATTCGTTACAATGCTTACAATAATACAAATGACTTAACTAATTAAAAACATTAAAAATATCCAATTAAATATTATGTGTATTTTCTGATAAAATATAATCAAAAATTATAATAATTTACAGTTTTGATAATTATTATATAAATTTTAGGACATGACTCGGGATATTTTTATTTAATATCTTGTTAACTAATATTAATTCTTATACGTTAATTATTTTGCGTACTGTATATTTTTAATTTTATAAAAAATACTTATTCATCGAGGTGTATGGCAACCATTAATTAATTATTTAGTTTTATATCGCAATGTTTAATAATAGGTGTTAATAATTGCAGTTTTTAAACAAGTTACTAAATAAATTCAACATTTTAAATAAATATTTAAACTATATTAAATTTTTATTTTCAATAAAATAATTTATATTAAAATTAAATCAAACATGCTTTAGTTTATAAGTTACTAATTAAACTAGTATTTTTGAATAAAATGTAACATAATACAAAATAGGTTTTAATTTATACATAGTTAATAATGCTTAATAATTATACTGTAGATAGGTAAATTGTATTAACACTACACTTTGTTTCTAACTAAATATAACTAGCACGTTTATGGTATACAATTATTTAGAAAAAATTAAAATATTTTTTAAAAATTAATTACAAAGATAATCATATCTAATATTCAAAAATAGTAATTTTAATTCACCAACATAATTATAATACTACTACGGTAAATTACACAGTATTAATACAATTTATAATAATTACTGTATAGCTATTAAAATTTATTTTCAATGTTGAGCGAGAAAGTAATTACCAAGCACAGGCTCACCCAGGGTATAATTCTTGGCAAAGTCTTTAATACTAAAACTTCTACGGTGTTCATCATCACGAGGGGGAGGGTTTATATGTAGACCCGGCTGTTGGTATATAAGTACGACATATCGGTGTAGACCAGTGCCCTCTGGCGGGTGTGGCCCTGAATAACCGGTAACGATATGACCACCGGATACCTGGCCACCCGGTACGTTCATGACTAGCCAATGATTTATACTACGCGTACTTGCATCAGGGTCAACCATGGCTATCGTATAATAGCCAGATTGTTTTGCAGTCCATGTTAAATGTGGTTTCGTGTTTGACTGAGCAGGGGTAATTTCATTGCCCAGTTCTATGCTTATATTTCCCGGGTAAGTAACCTGATAAAAATAATTAATAAAAGCATAGGTAACCATGGCCAATTAAATTAATTAAACAATATTTTCACAAATTATAAATTAGATAAATGTTTTGATTACAGTTTGAAAATATATAAATTCATTGTGACTGTAAAATAAAATTGCAATTAATATGATTAAAATAAACTCTTTAAATTTTTTAAAATAAAATAATTAAAGTAATATAACTTTGGAAAATTAATTAATACCTTGACCAGTTCCTTTGGGCTTGTATCTATAATATCAGGCACAATTTTGCTATCATGGAAAGCTTTATCAATGTCCACAATGGTGTCCCTTTGACCGTAATAAAAGGTACCAGACACTGCAATCACTGAGCAAGCTAAATAACATATTAAATTAACAAACATTTGTGATTTTAGTACAGTTTAATGCCTCACATAAAACTAAAAAGATATTTATAAATAATACAAGTTACTAGTTTAATTTATATAGCATTTTATTATCTAAAACTGAACAATATAATATTTATTAAGTATTATGTACTCAGGGAGCTAGTTCACTTTTCTCAATCATTTATATACTGTAAAANTATTTATAAATAATACAAGTTACTAGTTTAATTTATATAGCATTTTATTATCTAAAACTGAACAATATAATATTTATTAAGTATTATGTACTCAGGGAGCTAGTTCACTTTTCTCAATCATTTATATACTGTAAAACCACTTTACTTTAATTTTATTAGATATTTATCAAAATAAATATAAGTTTTAATGTTAAAAATAAATTTTATATCTTAATATGCTAACTTAAAAATAATTAAATACATTTTGTATTTAAAGATAATAAATATTATTATATTTTGTAGCAACTAGAAAATAATTTAAAATTATTTATACAGTATTATGTTATATTATAGATTTGTACAAATATATTTTTCAGATATTTTATATGTATAATATTTTCATACTTGTTATATCATACTTTCTATACAAGTACATAGTTCATTTACAATCATGTGAGAAAGGCCTTTATCTGATATTGTTAAATAATTTATACTTATTCATTAACCTTATACGGTATACATTTATTTAATACTACAATCTAAATTTAGCAAATAAAATAAGTATTGTAAGATATAATAGAAATTTATTTAACTATAATTTTGGTTTAAAATAGAGTATAAATTATAAATTATAATTTGACATTCACTAATTTATTATTTTATATTTAATGACTATCTGAATATTATTTATATTTAGTATTTGAAATTAATACATAATTAATTAAGTAATTATAGACAATTGACTATGTAATGTGCAAAATTAATACAATTAAAAATATATTTAAAGTAAAATTACAGATAATTCTTATTAACCATAAATACAATATTTGTTTAACATTATGACAGGTATCCGGATATAAATATTAAATTTTAATACCTTAATAAATCAATGTCAAATTAGACTGCTTTAGAAACAAAGTTATAATAATAAACATAAAAATTTGTCAGGTATGATATTAACGTGTCTATTATATTTGTTATCAAGGTCAGTTAATCACTAAGATTTAAAAAGCGTTCCGAAATGCCTGTGTAACCCATGTCCTTACAAAAATCACCCTATTGCATTATGTTTTATAACAATTTCAAATATTGTATATTCACTACTGCTATAAAAGGCTTGTAGTTATTAATATTATATTTAAAATTTTAGTTTTAAACTAGCTCAATTAAGAATTATAATATTTAATTTAGTGTCAGTTAGTTTTTGTTATTTAATATAGATATGAGCAGGCATTTAGTATTCTTTTATGGGACACTTAAAAAAGGTTTTTAATTAAAAGGTGCAAGTTCATATTTAATATTTTAATATTAAACTACTAGGTCAACCTAATCACCACTTCATGGCCGATGATATGAAAAACGGTCGGTGCGAATACGTGTGCAGTGGACAGACTGTTGACAAGTGGCCGATGGTGATAGCCACCAGATATAACATACCATGCTTACTTTTTAAAAAGGGTCAAGGAAAAGTAAGCTATAAATTTTATTCATTTTTATCTTAATTAAAATAAATAAAAATTTATGTAATATAAATGCCATGAGTGTTTCGAGTCCAAATTAAAAATAATTCAAAAAATAATTAAACTTGTACAAAGTTGTTAAATAAATTACAGGTTGCATATATTTTAAATTTAAGAATATTTTAATTGATATTTTATTTAAACGTATATTGATAGGCTATTTTATAAATCAATATAAAATAATTATAATAAAGTCTTATTTTTAATTTAGCAAATTTATGGTGAAATCTATTCAATGGACACCACATTACTAAACTGGTTAGATTTTAAGGAGTCCCAGGTGCTAATTTATAAGCGAGTTGAAATACCGGTGCAATTACCTGATGAATCTATCAAAATTATTTGGGTTTATTTTATAATGAATTTCAAGCCACAACTACTAGACCTTGATAACTTTAGTGAGTATGACAGCTATGGTAAGCATGGTTTGGCATTTGTTGGGGACTATGACCCAGAAAGAGATAATTATGATCCCATGTCCGATATTGTAACTAATAATTCAATAAATTCACTATGATGATTTTTAGTATTTTATAATAAAATACAACATTGTCAGTAATTTCTAATTTTTTCATTAATAAATAGTTGTGATTATTAATTTGTTAAATATTTTTTGATATGTAATTTTATAATGTTCATGCATGTTGAATTAGTAATAAAAATAACTTTAAAATATTATCCAGTTATTTATGCCTTTTGAAACCAAATTTTATATTTAAAAAATTAAGTTTATAAAATCTGGATGTTAATAACAATGTTCCAGTTTTAATAATATTAAAACAAATACTATAATAATAATATAAGTTTATAAACAAAATAATATTTTATTTGACGAGCATAAAGCTGATTTGTTTATAAATTAAAAACAATTCAGTTTCTAAAAATATTTATACTAGATAAAAATCAAATAATTACTTTGAGGACAAATGTTACAAACAATTTATGATTTCATTATTTGCGCCCATAATTACATTTCCTATTAATACTCACAAAAATATTTTATAACTTATGATTTGATTTATTTTATAATTACTTTTATCTCGTTATACTATGGAAATGTATAATAGTAAGTTATTTTTTTACAGAAATTACCCAGAACATACTTTAGTACATAATCCTTATTTACTACAGTAGTTAGTAAAATACTATTACAACTAAATAGTAATTTATTTTATAAATATACAGTAATGTTATATATTTTCTAATATTGATATAAGCGGCATTAAATTGTTTCTGATAAAATAACTATATAAATACCTTTACAATAAGTGATAATTGATTTATAATGCTTAACAATCAGTGCAAACAAAGTGTAAATGTTTTACTAGTATTTAATATATAATAAAATTCATTATTAATAAAACTTTTATTCATTTACCAAAACTAACAACCTTGTTGAATCTAGTTAAATTTAATTTAATAATGATCACTAAACCAGATCGCTATTTAATGTTTGTGTATGGCACTATTAAAACTGGTAATTTTATTTTACAATAAATTGTATTATATTTTATATTAAGGTATAAGTATTTTATAATGACCCTGTTATTAAAAATTGTTTAGGTCAACCTAATCATTATATCCTAAAGGATCAAGATAATGGTGAGGCTGAACTTATTTGTGGTGCCGAGTCTATTGATAAATGGCCCCTGGTAATTGGATCAAAGTATAATGTGCCGTATCTATTACATAAAAGGCATTTCGGAAAGGTATGCCACAAATTAATTTAATAAATATAAATAATAATACAATATGTGTAATTTAATTATTTTAAAATAATTATTTTCTAGTTATTTATTAAATTTAAAAATTATTTTAATATTAAAACTATAGGGGTGTATGTTATAAAAGTGAAAGGTTAATATTAAAACACAGATTAAAATATTTCTTATGAGATAGTAATTTAAAATATCTAAATATCTACGATACCCAGTAGCCATAATACTTAATAAATTAAGTAAGCTAAGTTACGTAAATATTTAAGATATCTATGATATCAAGTAATAATTGACATTGATTTATAAACCACTTGAGATTATCACTAAAAGTGTCATAGTTATTTTACAATACAATATGAAATTTATTAGTTATTTGAAGCTGTAATTAATTATAGAAATATCAAATAATTTACTATTGTTTTTATTATATTTATATTTGGTCACTGGATCACGTGTTTCATATAAACTAGCAGTAATTGATTAAATTAAATATTATTTTTTTGTTTATTTTATTAAAGTAATTTATAAAAATAAAAATTATAAAAATTGTTACATTATAAAGCAATCATTACAGAGACTGTAACAAAATTCATTAACTATAGTAAATATTTGCTTTATTTCATAAACAAATTAATTGGGTAATATGGCTATCCGTTATATTTTTAATTAATCTTAAAAATTTTATAATTAAATTAATAAGTAAACATGTTCAAATATTATCAGATATAAAAGTGTTTAAACATGTATGGATAATAATTAAAATAATTTTTATTATTAAATTGACCCAGAGAATATACGGTGAGCTATGGTCAGTGGACATAAACATGCGAAACAAAATGGACGACTTCGAGGCACATCCCAGGTTTTATCGACGTATGGAGATCCCGGTGCTCACCGATGATAACACACCGGTCAAGGCGTGGGCCTACTTTCTCATAGACTATAAGCCACACCTATTGGACCTGGACACTTATGAAAACTATAATACTTATGGCGATCACGGGCTACGATATGTCGAGGGCTGCGAACGCCATGACCCGGAAGGGGAGGTCAACAAACTTATCGCCGAAATTAAATTGACTAATGTTTATAGAGATACGAAGTAGAGACCTGGATGATTATTAGATTATTAGCGTGCCTTAAATTATTAAAACTGTAGATTTTGAAATAAAATTTGAAATTTAAAATATATTTATAAATTAATTTGAAAGTAATATAAACTAAAATTTAGTATATAATGCTAATTAGTTCAATAAATTAATAAGCAATGTTTAAATGCTACCATTCATTATATTTTACTTTATCAATACAGTTTATTATAAAAATATTTTTATTAATAATTAATTAAAAATTATTAAATTTACATTTTGATTCTTAAAAATAAAATAAATATTTTAAACATAAACTATATGATTATTAAAAATAACCCCAAACTGAGCAATTTAAAGTAAATATTTGATAATTTTTACATTCTGGACTATTGTTAAATATAATAATCAGTATTTTACTTATCATAGCTAATGTATTATTTCCATAAAATAATAAACTTGTTAAATTATCTTTACTAAATCAAATAATCAGAACAAAAAGTTTATTTTGTATTAATTGTAATTAAAGTGCAAAGTGTTATCACACATTTACCTATACAGAAGTACCAAGCTTAACCACACACACCTGACTGTATAAAATATATATTATAAAATATATTAATAATAATTGTATTAACAATTAATTAAATCTAATAATAATTAATTTAATTAATAAAATTAATCGGTCCGTGTTAATATTCCCAATCAATTTAATTAAAATAAATAAATAGAAAACTCAATTTAATTAAAGATTTATTTACAGGTTTCTATATTATAATTAAAGTTATTTTTAGTTAAAAATATTTAAATGGTTGTTAATTGAACTCGGCCAACTATTTATGGCACAAAGTATTTAATTTATTACCCACTTAAATATATACCCAGTTTGCACTATTAAACAAAGATATATTAAAGACTTTGATATTAATACAGTCAACTTTGTTTAATGTGAATTATACAATCTAATCAATATTTTTAGAAATAATCCTAATTTGATTGACATTCAGATAATTTATTAACAAAACTTACATAAATAGATGTGAAAATAATTCTAAATTATTAACCTGCTAAACAATATACAATTCAAGTCTAATATTAAGTAATTAATGTAACATAAATTATATTACAAATGTATATAACTTTTAAGCTACTGTAAAATAATTTCAATAATGATTATTAAGCCGGATCGATATCTAATATTTGTGTATGGCACTCTTAAAACGGGTACTATTTTGTTATAATTACTACTGTGTTATTTTATTTAAAAAAATTAATAATTGTTCAGGTCAACCAAATCATTATGTAATAAAGGACCCTGATAATGGTGAGGCCGATTTTGTGGGCTACGCCGAAACTGTTGATAAATGGCCCTTGGTTATAGCATCCCTATACAATGTGCCATATCTTTTACATAAACCGCATTTCGGAAAGGTATGCAAAATATTTATGTTTCACTTAATAGACATTAATGTTAAAATAAGTAGCATGTATTATATCGGGTTAAAATAATATAATAAATTATCAGAAAATAACCGGGGAGATTTGGTCGGTGGACATAAATATGCGAAACAAAATGGACGACCTGGAGTCACATCCTAGGTTTTACAGGCGATTTGAGATACCGGTGCTTTTGGATGATCATGGCGTTCGCAGCCCTCGACATATCGTAGCCCGTGATCGCCATAAGTATTATAGTTTTCATAAGTGTCCAGGTCCAATAGGTGTGGCTTATAGTCTATGAGAAAGTAGGCCCACGCCTTGACCGGCGTGTTATCATCGGTGAGCACCGGGATCTCCATACGCCGATAAAACCTGGGATGTGCCTCAAAGTCGTCCATTTTGTTTTGCATGTTTATGTCCACCGACCATAGCTCACCGTATATTCTCTGGGTCAATTTAATTGTAAAAATTATTTTAATTATTATCCATACATGTTTAAACACTTTTATATCTGATAATATTTGATCATGTTTATTTATTAATTCAATTATAAAATTTTTAAAATTAATTAAAAATATAGAGGATAGACATTTAATCCAATTAATTTGTTTATGAAATAAAGCAAATATTTACTATAGTTAATGATTTTTGTTACAGTCTCTGTTATGATTGCTTTATAATGTAAAAATTTTATAATTTTTATTTTTATAAATAACTTATCCAGTTAATCAGATCCCAAATATAAATATAATAAAAACAATAATAAATTATTTAATATTTCTATAATTAATAACAGCTTCAAATAAATAATAAATTTCAAATTGTATTGTAAAATAACTATGACACTTTTAGTGATAATCTCAAGTGGTTTATAAATCAATGTCAATTATTACTTGATATCATAGATATCTTAAATATTTACGTAACTTAGCTTACTTAATTTATTAAGTATTATGGCTACTGGGTATCGTAGATATTTAGATATTTCAAATTACTATCTCATAAGAAATATTTTAATCTGTGTTTTAATATTAACCTTTCACTTTTATAACATACACCCCTATACTTTTAATATTAAAATAATTTTTTAATTTAATAAATAACTATAAAAAATTATTTTAATATAATTAAATTACACATATTGTATTATTATTTATATGTATTAAATTAATTTGTGGCATACCTTTCCGAAATGCCTTTTATGTAATAGATACGGCACATTATACTTTGATCCAATTACCAGGGGCCATTTATCAATAGACTCGGCACCGCAAATAAATTCAGCCTCACCATTATCTGGATCCTTTAGGATATAATGGTTTGGTTGACCTAAACAATTTTTAATAACAGAGTCATTATAAAATACTTATACCTTAATATAAAATATAATACAATTTATTGTAAAATAAAATTACCGGTTTTAATAGTACCATACACAAACATTAAATAGCGATCTGGTTTAGTGATCATTATTAAAATAAATTTAACTAGATTCAACAAGGTTGTTAGTTTTGGAAAATGAATACAAGTTTTATTAATAATGAATTTTATTATATATTAAATACTAGTAAAACATTTACACTTTGTTTGCACTGATTGTTAAGCATTATAAATCAATTATCACTTATTGTAAAGGTATTTATATAGTTATTTTATCAGAAACAATTTA